GTGTTTATAATAGTTTGTTGTCCAGTCCATTTAGTTCTCACATGCGCTTTTACGCACTAAGAGGGAAGTGGGGAAGGAAGCCCCCCAAACGCACGTGCGAAAGAAACCTCCCTCCCTTTCCTCCCCGACGCCCTTTTCAAATCTTCGCGCTCCCTCTCCCCAGCTGCGCAGAACCCACCTGCTGGCAAAGGGAAGGGAAGGCCGCCTCCGGTGAGCAGCCGCCGTCTTCTCCTGCGCGGCCAGCTCTTCCTTGGCGCGCGCGCTTTCAGGTCCCCTTGTCCAATTACTTCTGGCGACTCTCGCCTTTTTTCCTTCCTTAGGCTGCTGCGGGGGCTGCGTGGGAGGGGAGGTCTCCATGGAAACTTGAGGAGGGGAGGAAAGGAAGGCGAGGCAGCAGCGGGGGCTTTGACACCTTCGTTCTCAGGTCCATAGGGAACGTGCGCTCTCATCCCCCCCCTTTTAAAAAACTTTGCCTTAAGAATCCAATTTGAATCCTGAGCTCCAAACTGCATTTGGAAATAGACAGACCTGGATAGCTATAAACGCTCAGCTTATTTTTAAAGAGGGGGGGGGATTCTGTTTGGGGGAGATGGGGGTTAGGATTCGGTTGTGGGTTTTTTTAAAAAAAATTCAGGAGATTTGCATTAATAACAATGCAGACGACCCAGCAAAGCCTTAAGACTGGAGGACCCACAAGGCACACAATGGCTCAAGGGTCACGGAGAAAACGAAATGGAAGCTTGAAATCCATTTCTCTTCAGAGGAGGAATACCTGAAGGGCAGGGAGAGGAGGGTTGGATTTGCATGACTCTGTAAAAAAATAAAATAAAAATTCCCCCCAAATTTAATCAAAATGACCAATTATATAGTTTCATTCACCAGATGCCTAAAGCTCCAGATCACCCCGTAAGAAAATTGTTTCCATTTTTGTGGACAGGTGTTCATGGGCATTATGGCCTCACACTGAAAAGGACAGTGAAAATGGCATGCTATCATCACTCAAGGATTCAAACTGAGTTGACCAAAGGTTTATCCAATCTCCATGAAAAGCCCAACCCTAGAGCATCTGAACTAGCCAAAAGTCGTTTTGGGGGAAAGGTGGGGTATTAGAAAAATAGAATTGTAGACTTGGGAGGGACCACAAGGTTCATTCTAGTCCAAATCCCTGCAGTGCAGGATTTATTTTTTATTTTTCTGTAAATGGAGGTCAAACCTATGCCCCTGAGATTAAGGGTCACATGCTCTACAGACCGAGATATCTTATTATTTATTACATTTCTATACTGCCCTTCATACCCAGATGGATGTGTTCTGCCAGCTCTGTCATGTGCTTTGAACTAGCAGTTACTGGGAATTGCAGTGCTGTTTCACTCGTGCTGCTTGTGGACTCCCCATAGGGATCTAGTTGATCTCTATGAGAATAGAGTGTTGGGCTAGATAGGCCTTTGACCTGATCTGGCAGGGTTTTTGTTAGGTTTCCAAATCTAGTCTAAGCTGAACATCCCAAAGGAAAGGGGGAAACCTTGCCAACAAAGGTCCGTATAGTTAAAGCTATGGTTTTCCCAGTAGTGATGTATGGAAGTGAGAGCTGGACCATAAAGAAGGCTGATCGCTGAAGAATTGATGCTTTTGAATTATGGTGCTGGAGGAGACTCTTGAGAGTCCCATGGACTGCAAGAAGATCAAACCTATCCATTCTGAAGGAAATCAGCCCTGAGTGCTCACTGGAAGGACAGATCCTGAAGCTGAGACTCCAATACTTTGGCCACCTCATGAGAAGAGAAGACTCCCTGGAAAAAACCCTGATGTTGGGAAAGACTGAGGGCACAAGGAGAAGGGGACAACAGAGGACGAGATGGTTGGACAGTGTTCTCGAAGCTACAAACATGAGTCTGACCAAACTGTGGGAGGCAGTGGAAGACAGGAGTGCCTGGCGTGCTCTGGTCCATGGGGTCACGAAGAGTCGGACACGACTAAACGACTAAACAGCAACAACAAACTTTAGGGGGGGTATTTACACATTAAAAACTACATTTATAAACCTCTTTATAGCCTCCTGCAATGTTTTGAAATTACCTGTATAGATCATTCCAAAATCTGATAACTTCTGTTTTAAAATATGGAGATAACGCATAATGATGAGAGTTGAAATTTTAGACCCAGTTGACAAATTAACTACAGGTCTGGATAGAGCATCTACCTGAGAGTTCTTAAATAACTCAGATGTGAAATTGCCGGTCTTATGACAAAAATATGCAACTCAGCCTTAAGATCAGTTGCCGCATTTAACACAATTTTCTAAAGAGAGAGCTAGTGGGGATCCATGAAATAACAAGTCAGTTTGTCCCTGGGGATCCATGAAATAACAAGTCAGTTTGTCCCTGGAAAACTGGCGGAAATCATGTAAGACTTGCTGAAGCAGAACTAGCATAATTTCTGCAATTAAGGCCTCTCGCTAACCTTTCAGATTTCTTTGAATGTGACAAGAAGCATAGAAAGAGATTTTCCAGTTGGCATGGTGCTCTTGGGCTTTTAAAAATACTTCTGATAAAGTCTCAGCAAAGACTCCTAAAGCTTAGCATAAGGGGCAGGTCAGTAACTGGTTAAGGAACAGGAAGCAGATAGGAATGAATTGAAAGGTCTCTGAATGCAGAGCATAGAGAGCCAGTGTGGTGTAGTGGTTAAGAGCCGTGGACTCGTAATCTGGTGAACCGGGTTCGCGTCTCCGCTCCTCCACATGCAGCTGCTGGATGACCTTGGGCTAGTCACACTACTCTGAAGTCTCTCAGTCCCACTCACCTCACAGAGTGTTTGTTATGGGGGAGGAAGGGAAAGGAGAATGTTAGCTGCTTTGAGACACCTTCGGGTAGTGATAAAGCGGGATATCAAATCCAAACTCTTCCTCTTCTTCTTCTTCTTCTTCTTCTTCTTCTTCTTCTTCTTCTTCTTCTTCTTCTTCTTCTTAGCATAAGAGGACAGGTCAGTAACTGGTTAAGGAACAGGAAGCAGACAGGAATGAATTGAAAGGTCTCTGAATGGAGATGTAGAAAGTGGAGTCCCTGTCCCTTTTAACTTGTTCATAATTCATCTAGAGTTGAACTAAATGGGCTTCCGGTGTTATCTGGCTGGGATCTTCTTATGTTCCTAAGTTTTAAGAACAATGACAAAGTAACTGAGATACAATGTCTTAATATCAAACAGCTCCCTGCAGCTGAAGCAAACTCTGCTTTACTGTAGAAATAAAAAACTATGTTGCTGTTTGAATACATTTCAGTGCAATTATTTAACATTTGGTCTCAATTTGTTGCATACAATTCAGATATATCCAAAATTGTGTTTATGTTGCAGGAAGTAATATTGTATCTGCGTATATTTGTAGGATTTCCTGCATTGGGGCCATGGCCGTATTAGATGATTGGTGTAACACTGATGACACAGCGTAGAAATAAGTTTTTAAAGGAAGATAAGCATAGATACGGCTTTCTTGTGCAACAGTACTTTTCCTCCATATAAAGGGAGTCACGTTCACTGATCATCTAGAGCGTGAAACAGATACATTATAACTTTTGCCAAGCGTCAACTTTAAGTGAGGGCCAGTCTTCAATAATCAGCATAAATACTCCTTTAAAAACAAAGCAACTTATTTATGCTTGGGTGGTCCATTTTTTTTATCTTAATTAAGGAGATACTCCTTAAATAAAAATATTTTTGTTTTCCACTGCTTCTAGTGAACATTGTGAGTTAATTAAAAATATTCACAAAGTAAAACCAGGGGGCAAGCTACAGGTTACACCAGGAATGGGGAACATTTTTTATTTTTGTTGGGAGCTTTGAGCAGAGCCAGAGTCAAAAGTCAGAGTTTGCATACTGCAGGACTGCAAAGCACTTCCTTCTTCCCTCTCTAGCTCTGTCTCTCAGTCTCTCTCTCTCTCTCATACACACAAACACAGTGGAATAATTCATAGTAATGTAAGTGTCTTTTAAAATATATTTATTTACTTAATAGGATATGTAACAAAAGCACGGTATTCAGATGTTGCAGGTAGGTTAACAATTCAATAATGCCCCATGGTTCACAAGATGTGCTTAGATCAGCAGATTTGTATCTGTAAATAGTTTTGCACAGTCCAGAGTTTCACATATGTTTATCTCAATTTGCTCTAACCCAAATCTAATATGCATCATTGGACGTGGAACACCTCTTTCTCATGACTGCACTAAGATTTAATATGATGAGGTGCTTGTTTGAAATTCTCAGATTGGTTTTAATACCGAGTGAGGAGCTTTCAGATTCTACATAAGACACTAACTCCAGAAGTAACTATGCTCTTTGACTTTCATTATAATGCACATTTTTAAATTCTCCTGATATTATTTGTCAAAGTATCATGCAATATACAGGTTATTCCAAAGCTGTAGTCTTCATTGCAGAACAATCACATATATTTTTAACAAAAAGTTATCAAATATTTTCATCAAAATAGTAATATAATATCTTTAAATTGTTTAAATAATAATAGCAGTCCTCCCAAAGTAAAGGTGCATTTTCTTCTTTAACAGAAGTATACATATATTTTGTCAAAACAAAAAAAATTCCTTCCAGTAGCACCTTAAAGACCAACTAAGTTAGTTCTTGGTATGAGCTTTCGTGTGCATGCACACTTCTTCAGATACACTGAAGAAAAGAAAGCTCATACCAAGAACTAACTTAGTTGGTCTTTAAGGTGCTACTGGAAGGAATTTTTTTTGTTTTGACTATGGCAGACCAACACGGCTACCTATCTGTAACATATATTTTGTATCACCTTTTAATCCAAGGGACATATCACAAACACCTGTAGCTCTTTTTTAAACCCCGTAAATATCAAATCATGTCAGCAGTTAGTAGTTTTCAGATACACTTTAACAGTAGCCACAAGCTTCTGGGGATGTTCAAAAGGAACACAAAAAATGTAAAATGTGCTGGAAGATAGAAAACAAACAGAAAGACACAACTGAAACAAGTTTGCCAGTAATTTATTGCAAACATTTTACTGGAGTGTAACGTTTACAATAATTGTAAGTATAAATGAGTGATACCAATAGACATGCTAATAAGCTACAAAATGTTTCCAGTTATAGTTAGGGACGTGTATTTGATTAACATTGTTTATCATGAACTGATTAATTCACACATCTAAATGAAGTTAAGTCGATGACTAAAATGAACTAATTCTTTCATATATGTTAACATGTACAATTTTGCTGTAGCATTAAAACACTGAATACTATCGATTTTAAAATATTTATGAAACATGAAAAATATGTATATATATTAATAAGATATTTATTAAATCTGAATACATTAATAAACATACAATAGCCTGTTTGGTTATGGACTTCCGTAAGATTCCAGACAATCTTAATTCCACTGGCATGAACAGTCTGTGGGCTCCTGGATGACATACAAGATTTCAGTGCCATTTCCTGAGCAGTAGAGTGGCACGGTGAGATTCTGCACTCCGTTTTCACGACAGCATTTACAGAATCTTAAATGGCTATTAATGTTGATATTAAAAATTGTGGCAGACGGACATTTTCCTTCACAAGAAGCCACATTAATCTGTTAAGAGAGACAGAAAGAAGCAAGAAATCATCCGTTACTTGATGCTTTGGGGTGAGGAGAAAGGAAACAATTTATTTTTATTTTATTTTATTTTTTGTGAATGTCCACTTTGTGCACACCTCATCTAATGACTTCACAGGGCTGCTTCCCAAAAGGAGAACATTATCTGTAGGTAACTAGTTAGCCCTGGTTGCTACAGGCTGTTTTCAGAGCTGAATGGGGAAGTTACACTCCCCACTTCTCACTTCACAGGAAAGATAGAATCACAGAATTGTAGAGTTGGAATAGCTCCCTCAACTAAAGCGTAAGAGGCTCAGAGTCCAACTCCTTACAAGTACACATGTGCCCTCAAGCAAACATCTGTTGTGCCTCCAATCTAAGGTAAACACAAATGAGAGAGAAAGAGAAGGTGATTTGTGGCCAGCAGGTCTCTGCTCAGCAACCTGACAAGGTATTGTCTCCATTCACCTCCCAGAACATTTATCTAAAGCATTTGTTCAAGCCAAACATGGAGATGCATCCATTCCCAGGAGATGCGGAAGAAAGAAGAGCTTAAAGAACTCGCCTCACATGCCAAATTTGCCATATCAATATGCACCCTGCTCCGATAGTTTCATTTATCTGTACAAATTAACTCATGTAACTTGAAAACCGAATTCAGCCCTAACCCTAACCTTTGTATTGGTTAAGCTGCAACTGCAAATGTACCTCTATAACCTCGGATATCAACTATACTTCAAAAACATTGTAATTAATATATACATATAGAAATGAAATCCCCCCCCTTAAGGGTGGGAAGATGTAATACCTCTGTTTTGTGAGACATTATAGTAAATGATTTATTGTATATACTTACATGGAAATATATTATCTTTTATCTGGTAGCTCACAAAACAGAGGTATTATATCTTGATCTCTTAAAGAGATTTTATTCAGTATGACATCAAAGGCATACACGTTGTGAGAAGACAAGGGGGGTGTTTGTTTTTAAACCACATTATGTGCATCTGTTATATATTGGCACACTTTGTTTAGAGTAGGAGGACATTTAATGATAGACATCAGTGCTTTTGCCTGGTGTCAGCAATTACGTTGTGTGCAGTTTATCTGAACAGAAGAGCTCAGCATTTCTCTCTGGGAAGAGGCAATTAAACTGTAAATACATATATGAGTAGGAGGACATTGCCAGGGTGAGATATTTCCCAGATGTTAGGGCAGTTGTGGGTCCTATTTAGGTCTGTAGGTGTGGGTGTGTCTTTATTTTGCACACTACCCTTGAGTGTTTTAATGGTTGACTTGTTTTATTACCCACACTGACTGGAAGGAAGTAACCTTTATTATTATTATTATTATTATTATTATTATTATTATTATTATTATTATTCCACCCTATACCTGGAGGTCTCAGGGCAGTTCACAGAATAAAATCAAAATATAAAACCACAAAATACATATTCAAAATTAAAACAACAACCCAATACCCCCTTTAAGGCACATGCACTTACAGGGCTCCGACTTATGCAGTCATGTTTCCTTATAGTTGTTCTGACGGTCACTTTTTGGCAAATCTTTTCATCTCGTTTGCCTAATGGAAAATAAAATAACCTGCCATTTACTCATATATACTTGCTAAACCAGGAATATAATTTTCAAAATAACATTCATTAGGCCATGATTCAAAGAGGCCTTTAGGTTTGTGTTGGTGCTTTTGGACGTGCTCCAGAGCAGTTCATCCTTCCCACCAACCTGCCATCCTTAGGCTTAGATATCAGTCCAGAAGTTCTGGGAGCCTCTCATTAGGTGATTCTAGGACTTTCAAAAGTGAGAACTCAGGAGCCATATTGCATTTCTAAACTCTATCTCATGGTTCTATGGACAATGGCCTTTTAATGAGCATTTGTTAAGGGTTAACTTAAGAGTAAATTCTTCAGTATTAGTTTGTGATGCAGGAACATTCCTGATAGAATCCGTTTTGTGTGAAAGAGATGAAGCATGATATATGTCACAAATTGTTCCAAATAGGTTTTGAATCCATTGTTAACACCCCCATGTTCACTGCATATGTTGAGAAGAATTCAAGGATAAAAATGTGGCTGCCATTTAGTATTTGATGCTCAAGCTAATGAAAATTGAAAATTGAATGCGCATTACAAAAATCAAGAAGGAAAGCCAGACTGCACGAGATGCAGTAAATCTAACTTACTGAAGGTCTGGTTCACAGAAATCTTCTCAGCTAAATCTACACAGGAGTGCCAATACAATCATGGAGCTTCCATCAGCCATGGGAGTTGAAGCATTATTTCAATGTTAAAAGACAGTTCTATGATACTCCTTTTGTGAACACAGCTAGGCCAATAGCTGCATGTGTCTATATCACAATTGCCCCCACATCCACCACCTCACAACACAAACTCACAACACAAATAAGGGCACCATCTTTTCCTCAGTCACAACTTAATTGCTTCCTAGCACAGCACTGTGACAGCTATCACTGCAAGGTGGCTCTTTAGTTAGGAAATAAAAAGCCTCAGCAATTTTCTATTTTTTTTAAAAAATGGCCCAAATATTCTGATTCTGCAAAGCGATAAGCAATGAACTAAGGAAGGTGTGTAATGTCACTGAGTAACAGAAGCATATTGACAACATCTCTATAAAGAATATTAACATTTTAACAATTTTTAAAGGAAAGAAAATACATTATTAAAAATAGTAATACCTGGTTCACAATTAATACTATCAGTAGAGACTACGGGGCTAATGGCAAAGGGTAATACACCCCGTCCAGAACCTGGCAGAATTATTGGGAACATAAGTTTTTTTGTAATATAAAAACATATTTTTACAAGAATAACATTGTATTAATTCTTACACTGCCAACTGTAATTTCTCTTTTTTTTTCTTTTTGAAAAATAGGAAAAAAGTCTTCCTATTTTTCTCAATTATTGACAACCTGTGCTTTAAGACTTGCCTGGGTAACAAAACTACAATGTTCACACAAGAGATTTAAAAATGATTATTCTAGAGGGCATCTTATGACTCTGGCAAGGTAAGAATTAAATATATGAACTCACTTAGCATGCATTTAATCATTCTCCTGTTAAAATGAAGATTATTGGTTCCCGTTAAAACCCAAGGAGCCGCAAGCTATACTTGGAGCTGACTTTTAAACTGCTTTACCAAAGAAAGCACATGCTTTTAGTTTTTATATATATATATATATAAACATTCTCTATTAGCATGTAAAATAGCATTTAATTTTGTTGCATTTTTTGTTCTTAGAAGCCATTTCAGCCAATGGTTCTGAAGTATAACAATGCCTTTCCTAAGATTATGGAATTCTGCAAAAGCTACGGAGTTTTCATAATACCCTGAAGATACATTGAGCCATGTATACTGAACTCGTCTGCTTCATATAGTGAATGGAGAAGGAGAAAGATGTGGCTTTATCAAGAGCTTAATCAACGTTGGTTATCTACATAGCAGAATTATTCTCCTTAATATTTTTCCTAATGTCTGTCACTCAAAATATTTGCTCACCTGGAACTCCAGGTGGGCGGCCATTGCCACATGGTGCGACTGAGGAAGCCACTATCTTCTGACATGGCTAGGGGAGGTGATGGTCACCTGCCACTGCCCACCTCCAACCACATCAGGCTCCTAGGTAAAGGTGGGCAGTGCCCACTTAGCCAATCGGGCTGCAATCAGCCCATGCCTAGCTTATTTAAGGGTGTGTCTCTCACTCAAAACAGTGATCTCTTTAGTCTAGGGCTTTAGTCATTATATATGCAGGGCCCATACCAGATGCCCTGAACACGTGTATGCAGATACATGCCTTCAGGCACTATTATGTTTTCAAATGAAAAGAGGTGTGAGTGTGGCCTATATGCAAAGGAATTTTTTTTGGGGGGGGCCTACAGGCACAAGCAAGAAGTGCTTTCCACATCCTAAAGAAACCGAAAGGCAGCTGCATGGAACAGAAGTTCCCAAGACATTTGGCAAATTGTTAGAGGCTGGTTTTCTAGGAGATCATCAAATGCATCTCCTGTTGGTCTGACTACATTTCAGTCTGCTTTAGTGAACTGCAGCATGAAAGATTTCCCAAGGAATATAAAGAACAAACATCTTTCCCTTTGTAAAGATGTTAGGAACCACCAATCTGTGTAGCTTGCTTTGTATTTCTTTAGTGCTTCGCTTAGAGTTGTTTGTGATCCCCCCCAATTCTGTTCTTACTAGAGCCCATGCAGGTGTTGAAAGTTTGTTCTTCCTTCTCAGTTAAAATGTCTACAATTCCTCATATTAGTACAGTTCATATTCTTCATATTCACATTAAACATTGTTTGCGTTTGAACTATGGTTTAATGTGGTGTGTGAATGAGGCCTGTGAAAAGTCATATTGCACTGCTAAGTTCCCATTGGCTATCAAAGTTTTGAAATGTTTAGGTCACTGCAAAATAAGCCTAGGGGGAACTGTCAAAAGAGAACCCGCTTGTACAATGTCCTTCACTATCCGGATGTGCCAATTCATGTCACAGAGACCTTTTTGATCCTGAAATTGGAATATGCCATACAATATTTTGTGCAAATGGCTTCACATTTGCACATTACAATTTGATACATAACTTTTTACAAGGGAAATTGCCTCTTTTTAAAAAGTCTTTATGCATAATTTTGCTCACTTAAAAATCTTGTTATATATGGACTTGGACTGAAGACGAAAAACATTTATTCCTATAGAACACATAACAGGAGAACCTAAAACCACCATCACGCTAAGTTATAAATCAATTCTCTATTTTTAAAAAACTTTTATTTCAAACATGTGTGCATGAATTGTTCTGGAACAATCTAGGGAAATATCTATATCTATCTATCTATGTATATATAACCTCATTTATTAAAAATATAAAGTAGCTTTTAGTTTCACCCATTGCTATATTTGGCGAGATTTGGTTATACTCCAGAAGAAAAAAAGTTTAACCAAAAAAAACACAACCAAAATCACCATGTGAGCAGCCATATAAAGCAAGGCTTGTCAATGACATTTGTTAAGACTACACATACATTACATGATTTGGGATGGCATGCTTTTTTATTTCCACATGTCCCACTTAAAAGGAGTGAAAAACACACACAGCTATCCAAAACCGAAGCCAAACTAGCATACAACTAGCACTGAATGCAGCTTTTGTTCCACTTACACGTCCTGCAGCAGCCATCATTATATGTCTCTATAGTGCCTCCATTCTGGGAAAATAAAAAAAGAATATTTCAAAACAGACTGTGCCCAAAGGAACATCTTGATAAGCCTGAATGACTCTTGTAAACCAGGGATAACTAATCTTTGATAGGGTTGTCATATTTCAAAAAGTTTTTGAGCTATTTTTTTAATATGAAATTTGCCACAAAATCTACACTTCCGACATGGGTTGCCACACAGCTGGGTTTCCCCGGACATTTTTTCCAATTTTTGGAAATTCCGCCTGGACACAATTTTTGGCGGGCAAATCCCAGCTATGTCTGGGAAATTCTGGAAGTATGGCAGCTCTACCTTTGGCACTCCAGTATAACTTTCATGTTAAGAATCCTTAACATGCAATCCTTATCACATTCATCTTGGAGTAAGTCCCAATTAACGCAATTGGGTTTTCTTCTGAGCAGACACAGTGCAAGTCACAAAATCTGAAGACCGTGAGCCTTTGCATTAGCCACGTTTATTCTAATCCACTGATTAGAATCAGTTCTGGTGTATTCATTTCAATGAAAGGAGCAGATCCACAAGCATTCACGCAGAACCGCCCACATTTGCACCAGAAAGTTCATGGACTCCAGATGACGACATTTTCATTTATGTAAATAAGACTTTATGTAAGTAAGATATTATTTGCCGTCTGGCATAATTCAGAAAAAAAGATTAATGAAAACACTGAAATGTAGACATTTTCTCTATATTAAACAATTACAAGCGGATTGCATGCTCGAGAAAAATGTTATTTCATGTATTTCGTCATTTGTATACAATATGTATAGGATTACAAACCTTTGTGCACTCAGTCTCATTAAAGGGTGGGCAAACCACACTGGAGCCAAGCACTATTGCACCACCAGCAGTCTTTGTGCATTCATATTTAGTGCAGTTTGAGTCCCATGTGCTTCCTTCCTATAAAGTAAGAGATCAAAGGTTATTCTTCTGGAGAAAAAGAACAGATTAAAAGACCACAGGAACATTTACTTGACATTAGGGTTTAATGGCTATGGAACTGACCACAATCAATGTTTTCAGTGATTTTCACTTTCCTGTTTCTCAAAGGCCACAGTTTCCAAGAGGGGTAGCTCCTGTTAGCACTCACCATTGTTCGTTGCCTTCACACCACTTGGGGATTCCCAGGCACAGAATAGAGCAGGCATAGGCAAACACTGGCCCTCCAGATGTTTGGGACTACAATTCTCATCATCCCTAACCACTGGTCCTGTTAGCTAGGGATGATGGGAACTGTAGTCTCACAGTGTAGCCAGAGTTTGCCTATGCCTGGAATAGAGCCATAACTAAGCTTATAAAGCCCTGCCTTGAGAGTGCATATATAACAACTTACCAGAACTCTTGCTTCTTACCTTGCTATGAGGCAGGCATAGAGGCTGCTTTAACCGTGATTTGCTCAGTTCCAGTGCAATACAGTGGTACCTTGGTCCTCAAACAGAATGTGTTCTGGGAGTCCATTCGACTCCCGGAACTATTCGAAAACCAAGGCACAGCTTCCAATTGGCTGCAAGAGCATCCTGCAGCCAATTGGAAGCCACAGAAGCTATGCTGAACATTTGGCTTCCAAAGATCATTCGAAAATCGGAACACTCACTTCTGGGTTTCGAGCGTTCCGGAGTTGATTTGTTCGGGAGCCAAGGCATTTGAGATCCAAGGTATGACCGTACTCAATCACAGTTAAGATGCAACATAGTTTGCACATCCACTTCAAACTAAGACATCATGCTGTGATTTGCGTCCAATATTTTTAATTGTTGGCTCAGTTAAGATGTAACAGGGTTGATCCACTCCCTCCTTGCCCTGCCCCTCTGTTTGTATACATGGCATGTTAATTTCCTGTGGCATCTAAATGGGGAAACTCAGTTTTAAACTGACTTACAAAGCAGAATGTGCAACTGAGAGGAGATAGCTTCTTTCTGGCCTCTTACAGGTTTGTTTGGGTTTTTCGGTCAGATGTTTTAATTGTTTGTAGCTATGGCCATTACAATGTAACTCACACAAACAACCAAGGCAAATGCAGTAAGTTAAAAGTCCATTTTTTGTTGAAAATACAGGTTGCCTGAAAGCATCCAGGGTTTATGCTGTTTTTTACCTCGTGTGAAGTAAGAAGGGAGGCGGTGTTGTTGGATGAAAAACCCCATAAAGATCTGGACCATAATTTTAGAACAACAATTTGGTACCAAGAGGTCTGAAAGAGCTGCTGCTGTTGAATTGTTGTGTTCAGGTCCTACACATTAGATTTTCAATTATTTACAGTATAGTGTTTTGGATCAAATGTGCCTAGACACCACCTGACTTACTCAAGAGTTTGTGCAGGTGGCAGCCCTAACTATTTTCTGGCTTGTGATGATGCCCACATGGACACAATGCACCAAATATTCAAGGTGGCTTCCAACCAAAGAAAGTTTGAATCAACAGTAGGAATATGTGGAACAACTTCTATAGAATTTAATAATTTTTATAAATTAAAGACAACATAGTCTGAATTCTGATAATATAGTCTATTTTTTTCAGCTTTTCCAGAGGACTTACTTCATAAATGACTGAGGTTCCGTTGCCAGAATAGAAAATACAGGACACATTTATGCAGGAACCACAACAAGCATGTTGAGTAGGAGATGGGGCATATACTTGGTGCTGTTAAAAAGATAGATATTTTGTGTTTAAAAAGGATAATATTAAAGGCATTATTTTCAAATACATACTAATAACTACAACCATGTCATGGATTTAATGTGTTGTGATAGCAAAATGTTGATATTACGGTTTTCTGTGTGTTTCTTTGTTCCCATGTCATTGCTGTGAACATGTTGCCACCTTGTAACTACTGCCACCAGCCCTTAGACCAACTGAGAGGAAAAGCTTTCTCATGCAATTTACACACTAAATCTGATTTTGCTTTCCTATCCACAGTCCAGGAGGCCTCTCCCTAAGATAAGTAAATAAGGAGAGAGGTGCAGAAAGGATGCCACTGTTCCAAGAAAAAGGATTTCTTCCAGTTGTCTTATCATGCAGGCCTAAAACTATCCTGCTCAATGGCAAGTGAAAAAGGACCCCTGGGTCGTTAAGTCCAGTCAAGGGCAACTATGGGGTTGCAGCACTTATCTTGCTTTCAGAATGAGAGAACAGGCATTTGTCCACAGACAGCTTTCTGGGTCATGTGGCCAGCATGACTAAACTGTTTCTGGCACAACAAAACACCATGGCGGAAACCAGAGCACACAGATATGCCGTTTACCTTCCCACCACAATGGGACCTATTTATCTACTTGCACTAACATGCTTTCAAACTGCTAGGTTGGCAGGAGCTGGGAGAGAGCAATGAGAGCTCACACCATGGCTAGGATTCAAACTGCCAACCTTTTGATCGGGAAGCCCAAGAGGCTCAGTGGTTTAGACTACTGCACCTGGCAAGAAGGCAAAGTTGATCTGTGGATATGCAATATCCAGGGACGTAGGAAGAGGGGTGTGGGTGGTGCTGTCCACCCCGGGTGTCATCCTTGGAGGGGTAAGAAAATGGCACACCGTGGGGGTCAGCACTTACTGCGGGGCCTGGCCTGCGGGGCGCCCGAACCATGCGTCTCTCCTGGGAGCGATGTGGTGGCTTGGGGCCCTGCGCTGCCCGAAACGGTAGTGTGGGGCTTGCGTCCGTCAGGCGGACTCTGTGGGCAGCCTTGCTGCACTGCGCCCCTGGGTGGATCGCCACAGTATCCCCATGTGCGGATCACCACAGCGCCCCCATTCGCAGATCACCACGGCACCCCATGGGTGGATCACTCTGCCCCTGTGGGCAGATTGCCCCACCCCTGCTGCTATGGGTGCCAGAGCAGCTAACTACACTCCTGGCAATATCTCGCCAAAGGAACAAAGGAAGCTGTGCAAAAATGCAGTCAGAGCATTGGTCCATCTAGCAGTGGCTCTCTTCAGACAAGTCTTTCCCAGTCACTGTACTGGACCCAGATATTTCATTTCACTAAGTGGAGGAGCTTCCATCAGAGGAATGGAAGCATTGAATCCGACTCATTAGTTTAGGCTTCCTCAAACTCGGCCCTCCAGATGTTTTGAGACTACAGTTCCCATCATCCCTGACCACTGGTCCTGCTAGCTAGGGATCATGGGAGTTCCAAAAGCATCTGGAGGTAACAATACTTACAGCTTCACATTTTTGGGAACAGTTAACTACGATCAGATCCATGGCATGAAATCCTGTGCTAGGGTCTTTTTCCTGCGAACATCTTGCTATGTAGCAATGATCTTCATCCAAATATTGAATCATGGACTGACCAGGGCTCAATATGGTGACTTCTTGGAATACACAGACATTATCCTTTTCTAATGTAAAAAATGAAATAGTTGTGTTAAAAATGTTGAACGTACAAGAAGTTATAAACCTTCTACCTTTAAGAAGCATTGGAGCCTCTATCTGACACAGAAAATTTATGTATTTCTATATGTGCACACACAACAAAAAACCACCCACATAATCCTGGTATTCTATCAAGTTTATCATTGCTAAATCCCCTGGAATGTTTGTAGTTATGAGGGAAATAAATTCAGATCATGATTTTACTTACAAATCCAGAATGTCTCTGCTTTCAGTAAAAGATAGGCCTTCAATGCTTATCCAATCATGCTTTTCACACTATACAGAAGTAGCTTTGTATCTAATTTTAATTAAGTTTATATCAATTAATTAAATTTATATTTTATTTTTTGGTTCAAAGTCAGATATAAAAAGAACAGGATTTATCTTGCCATATCAACAATGTATGATGTAATAGCCTTGAGAAACATAGCTGATATAAAGCTAGTGAGTATGAAATATTTCTATTCCATCAGGTAGCCCCTTTCTTGATTTAATTGCATTTGAATGCAATTCTTTAATTGCATGCCAAGAATTAAGTGAGAATTTTAAGAGTAGACGATTTCTGGGGTTTGCTGCCAAACATATGTATGTATCTATTAAAAACAGATATTGACAATATTGGATCTTGATAATATTGTGTATACACACACACACAACATACCGCAGGTGTACTGTGAGCAGCCACACATGCTAGAAACGTTGCCATCTATTCTCTGAACTTCTCCCTGTGATATGAAAAATGATGTTGCCGTGTCATATGTGTCCAAATATATGCACATGCATTTTCATTTATGAGACTGAGAGAACTAACTTCTGATAAACAAACTGGCACAGTTACATGTGCATGTTAACAAAAGCAAGATGATTTCTTTATTCCTCAGGGGGAAAACCAAGCAGAAGAGGGCAAAGTATTTGCAGGCTGCTGCTCTTTCCTCTCACTGCTTATATACTCAGAAAAGGCAGGTGAAAAGTGACTTTTTTAGAATGTTGCAGGTTTCCCTGAGGTGGAGCAGGCCTTGGCAAATGCTCAGCAATGCCCTCCATGCTCCCTCATCACAGCCCCATAGACCCTTTTTAAAAAACACTACAGAATATACAGTGGTACCTGAGGTTACGAACTGTCCTGCTTATGAACACTTCAGGTTAAGAACTCCACAAACCTGGAAGTAGGTGTTCCGGGTTCTGAACTTGGCCCCAGGATATGAACACAATCTGCTTCCGAGGCTGCGGGAGTCCTATGTAGGGAATGTGCACCTCGGGTTAAGAACGTTTTGGGTTAAGAATGGACTTCCAGAAGGAATTAAGCTGGTAACCTGAGGTACCACTCTATATTTTTAATCAGGTCACTTCTTTGCTTTCCTCATACCGTTATGGTTTTAGAATTAATGGCAATATTAGGCACACAATAAAGCATCTACCACATTGAACTATGCACCACACTCTTTATATTATTTAGGAAGGGTATAACAGAAAATCAATGTTTTATCACACTGTGATAGATAGGGATTTTCAATTAGACATTTTCCAGGTCACGGGAAATATTTGTTTAAGCAAAGCTAGAAAAATGGAAGGAAAGTGGTTTGTTTGAAAGCTCACATATTACACAGGTCGACATAATTTAAAGTGTATATACGTTTCAGAACAAGTCTACATTCTTGCAGATAATAAAGAAGCTTGTACATTTCAATGTGTGTTGGCAAACTGAAACAGGATAATATTTAAAATCATAGGGCAATATCCAACTAAGTCATACACAGACTTAGGCACAATCTTATCCTTCACATATCTTATATAGTTTCTGCATACCTATGACTGATGATGGCAGAACAGATATAGAACATGTGTTAGAACAGAATATGATAGTAGAACAGACTAAAAAAAATGCCTCAAAGTAAGAATCATCAAATTTTTAATTTTATTTATTTAATTTTTCCCATCCCATCTATTTCTCCAAAGAGACTCAAGGTGGCTAACAAACCAGAATAAAAATAGCAAAACAAACATACCCCTTCCCCAAATACCAACTATGCATTCATAATAATACATTAATATCCATCGACCTTTGCTTATTTATAAAGGCAGTGACTCGGAACAAATAATTAACACTTCGTGGCTTAAGTGTTGTTTTTTTAAAAAAATATTAGTCAGATTAATGAAAAATAGCAGTGCTTGAAATATGTGTGACCATGTTTAGCTTTATGGAGGAAGCTAAAGAGTTGATAACATCCTTGAGATATTGCTGTTCTCCACTAAAAAGCTGAAACGTTATATATGTTACTAAACTGCCTCCAAGACAAACATGTCTTACCACTTTACAAGATGGGATAGTAGCACTTTCACAGTCACATTCTGAGGAGAGAAGGACAGAGAGAGAAGGATCAGTCAGTGGGGAAAGTGGCCCTACATTGCTTATTCAAATAATTATTGATAAAAATAAAACACAGATACCACAATTCCAGTCTGGACAGCACTGTCCAGCTATTCTCTTCTTTACCAGCTTCATTTCAGCAGAACAGTTCAGAAGAGGTAAGTGACAGTGATTCTCATCACAGACTGCAGAAAGAGAAGTGACGTAATTAAAAAGAAAAAGAAAAAAGATTAGCATTAGTAAAACCTCAACAAATTAAGAGTTGCCAGGTCCCACACTGGTAACTGCAATAGTAATTGAATGATAATAGAAGCAGTCATATTAACCCAAGAAATCTTACCACAGTGGTAACGAGGGCAACAATAATGTGTGGAGCTAAGATCTACAGTGAGAATTTCCCCTTCATTGCATAATGGAATAGGTTCAATGCAGGATTCACAAACTGCAGGAGAAAATAAATCAAACATCCAGTTAAAACATATATATATAGGTTAAAACTTATACAGCTGTGGTATTGTAGAGATCTAATGTTAACTTGATACTGAGGCGAACCATAGCATTGGGTCACTCTTCATTTTGGTAGATTTCACCAAATCTGTACTTAATTCCTAGATGTAGTCAATGTACAGCTGAGAGAAATCAGATGTATTTTGCAGGTACCTCAAATCTACACTGACATACAAATGTATAAAGCAACTTTTATAAATTTATTTTATTTAGAATTGTGTTCCTCTTTTTCCCGAAGTTTCTTTTTCAGCTGAAACACTTTGGAATACATAACTATCTCAAAAATGGCATAGCCTTGAAAAGTCTCAGCTGAAGCCTAGATGCCTTCAGCTAAGTTCTCATCTCCTGCTATCTGAAGTGCTATATTAAAGCAAATTCAATTACTCCATATATAAATAAAATTACTCTGAGAATTAAGTCCAAATAATTCTATGCAGTTATGCAGTTGTACAAAGTTGCTCCAAATTAGATTCTTTTTAGAGCTAATTCATAGTATGCTTTTTTAAAATTTGGGGACAATAGTACTGTGAATGGTGCATGCACATTTAAATAGGCTTCCCTAAATTAAACTTAGGATCCAATCACTCTCTAATAATGACCGCTCCCCGCTTAAAACGGGGGGCGGCCTTTGCGTGGACGCGTGCAGCCCCTAGATCTGGAGCAGCTCCAACAGCATAGGCTTGGCCTTGCCTTCCCTCAGGTGGGATACCTGGAGGTCTCCGCCTACCTCAGTCAGTTGTCCAATCCCACCTGGGGGAAGCGTTGCCAAGGAGACCAGGCCAGGTAGGGGAGGGATTACCTGCCCACACAATAGAGGGAGGATCTTAAATCAGCCATTAAAATTGACTGCACTTAGATCTTACTTTTAAAAACAGACAACTTATATAAGTAAATTGAAAAACCAAACTCTATATTTGCAGGAAAGAACACCTAAAATAATAAAGGAGCTGCCAAAACCATTTAAGTGAGTAACAGTTGCTGTGTTTGGGGCTCTTTAGCTTAAGAAAAAGGCGAATAAGGGAGGACATGATAGAGACACACAAATTCTGCATTGTAACACTGTGGAGAAGTTGATAGGGTGACATCTTCCTCCCTCTCTCATAATATCCCTTATCTTCTGATGACACAAAATGGTGGGAAGACAATGCTGGATTAGATAAGCCATTGGCCTGATCTAGCAGGGCTCTTGCGTTTTCAGTTGTAGATATTCTGGAATCCCTTGCTTACTCATGGATTTACCAGCATGGGAAAGCTTCCTTACCACACAAATAAGAAAAACAGCAAGGATCCTCCTGTTTTGCCTCAACAAGAAATTGGTCTTCTCTGCATTCTGGACGGGAAGCATTGGGGCATGCTGATGGATCACATTCTGAATTAAAAAAAACAACACAAAACAGTTTCTCTAGTAAAAACTTGTTATTTTTAAATCCTCAGAAGAGCTACACATACATACTGTAGATGACCAATCTCTTGACATAATTTTTCAGTCTGATCACATGTATGCCAACTTGTGTTCCAAGATGAAAGAAAAGCAGGATATACATACAATAAAATAAAAATAAATGAACATTAATTATCACTTACCACATCGGTACTGAGGACAGCATGACAAAGGATCGTATACCACTACCAATTTCTCAACACTTCTGCAAGTTGGAGTAAGAGGATCACATTGAGTCATGTTGCATTCTGAATATAAAAATAAAAAGACTGGCCCATTCAGTATAGTGCTATCAAACGTTAACATGTCTCATGAAGATGACATCTATTCATAACTTCAAGGCTATTTATCTACTATTTACCAGAAGATGCAAATACTGAAGCAACTGTTCACTTCCTACAAGGAAGTATGTTCCAAATAAAAAAAAAGATCCTACAATTAGTCATGCTTAATATTATAATACCTTGGTTTATTATTTACTAGGATATGGGTCAATCGTTTTAAATACAGAAGAGTTTTTTCTCAAAGGCAGGATAGAAAAAAATAATAATGTCTTATTTGCACAAAATCAAAGGTGAACAAAGTATGTCAATGTCCAAATCTGTTTTTCTTCATTTGTTGAGGAAGACTTAAGTGTCAGCAGCCAGAGACGAGTGTAGGTCAGCAATTAAAAAACACGGTGTTAGTGAAGTTAACTCTTTCTTCAAAGAAGCTAAAACAGGGCAGGCCTAGTGGGTAGGGTAGGTCTCGCCCTGAAGAGGCAGCTGCAAGGACTGAAGGTTCCACTGTTCTCCAAGATTCCTCCTCTCCAGTGTGTTTCCTAAGCTGTCGCAGACTGTGTCTGCACACAACCAATCTCTGCTCTGCTCTTTTCATTTCTCTGTGTGTTCTGGGAGACCAGGAAGAAGGGGAGCTGGTCACAGCAGGAGGAGGAGACACCCTGGATTCTTCAACAGACTATCTCATCTCTACCTCTTGCCTACCATTTTTTCCAGCCTCCACTTCAGCATTGGATTCTGCACTGCTCTCTGCCCCAGCCTCTCCCTGCTCACTAAACCCTGTTGCCTCTTCAGCTTCCAACACCTCCCCCTCCCAGTCTTCTCCCTCTAACTGCTCGTCGTTGTCCTGTCACCAGTCCTCTGGCTCTGAGCCCTCTTCCCCTGGGGGTTCCTCAGTTAGTGCCTCCCACCACCCCTCTGCATGCAGCCATGATAGTGCAGCTATATGATCTATCATAATGAAATGGAAACAGAGAAGTCAGAGTTTGAAGTGGAGAATCACGAAGATGCTAAGAAGAGTGCTATAATTTTTTTGCACTTCTGTACACATCCGAGCAAGCCTTTTAGATGGCCTAATTATGCTCCTTAATTGTGGAGAAGCGTGTAAACCACAGTCCCATCTCCCACATTCCTATGACGGGGTGTAACTAGATAGGTGTTTGATTCTAGACACCCATCGCCGCCAGTTCCTCCGCTGAATTGTGATGGGACATTTCCATCACAACTCAGAGGGGAGCCTTTTTATAGCTTATAGCAGAGATCAGAACCATAATAGATATATGTTTGTTTGTTTTTCTTCCAGAACTTCAGCACTGGCTTTATCTATGAGGAATTATTAATTTTCTCTAACTGTAAGCAATTTGACAAATTTTATTAGCACGCAGAACAATGCCTTTCAAAATAATAATGCAGCACCTCATAAACATTACCTACCACAGACTTTCTTTGGACAGCAAGCCCCTTCCTCGATCACATTAATAATCACTTCACCCTCTCGCCGGCATATCGGAGGCGCCTCTTTATTGCATTCAGGCTCTACGGCAATAATGCTCCCATTCTCCACACACATATACATGCAGCACCCTTTCTTGGAGCCATTCCAAACTTCTCCAGCTGAACGGGGATGCCCTGCATTGTCAGTACATGCTATAAATGAAAAGAGAGCATAACATCCTTCAGAAAGACAGAAAATATGAACCATATCCAATTAGAAATCAGGAAATTAGTACAAATACAACTTCTAACTAAGGGGCTTACATTTCTTCCTGGAACATATTTGTAGACTATCATTTGAAAAACTGTGCAACTTAAAAGAGTTTTTAGTTACTCAATATCTATGACCAAAATAGAATTATCTGCTTTCCTGACTAGCAACTTATGCACATCAGAGTTCATGATTCTGCACAAATTACCCATTTACTTCATCATGATCCAGTTAAAGGAGCTGATGTGATTTTATGAACCATTGTGAAAATGAAGACTTGCCTTACTGGGTCAATTTGAGTTCCATCTAACCCACCATACTATTTCCAGCAGCTGACAGCTAAATGACTCTTCAAGCTTACAAAACAGGCCATGAAAATTTTAAAACAAACACAGACTGCAATCCTATGGACTGTTACTCAGAAATTCACTTCTGAATCAACATGCATAGGATAATCAGTGGCAGTGATTTTGCAGCCTGTAGATGGAGCACAGTTTTTCAAGCTGCACTCATTTGGGAATAGAAAAAGCTGGAGGTACTCTGGGCTGTCTATTAATTTCAAGCTCTTTGAATAAATAAACGACAAAGATAAAAACCATGTCTCTGCCCCACCAGAAACCAAGCACGCTTGGGCCTAGTGTGGGTAAATGTGCTTACATAGTTATAGGTTTACTCACCACATTTTTCTTCTGGAATGCAGAGATCAGAGTCTGTTCTGTGAAGAATGGTTCCATTTTTACAAACACAGTCTTCTCTTAAGTAGGAACAGGGTGATTCTTCATAGAACCATTTATTTAGGCATGTTTTAGCAGCACATGGTTGCACACAAGGCTGGTATTCTTTCCCATCAGGACAACGGAGAGCTACATGTCAGACACACAGAGGGAAATCAACACTGCTGACATTTTCTTCTCCTAATTGAAGCAGCTGAGGTAGCAGGGAGAGAGAAGCAGAAGTACTATACTTACAACAGTAATCTGGTGTTCTCCACTTAATGCAGATATTATGTTTGTTGCACAGCGCTACATATGCAGAAAGAGCATCACATTCATAATTCCAAAAATATGTATTGTTGATCCACATTTTTTCACAAAAGTCTTGGGGTGAAACCTACATTAAAATACATTATATAGGGAGTGATCAATTAACACTCATTGATTGATGAGTAAATTTCTTTTATCTTCACTAGGAACAGAGAGAGAGAGAGAGAGAGAGAGAGAGAGAGAGAGAAAGAGAGAGAATAATGTCATTTTAAATAGTAAAGACAACCTCATGGGTGCATAAGAAAAAAACTCTCAAATTCACAGTTGTTCAATACCTTCATGGAGATGCACCAGAATATCAGAGATGTGTGGCAAATATTTGAGTTCTCAGACTCCTGGATGTGCAACCTGATACCTACAGCAACTGTGAGGCACTTATTCAGCCTGCAGTCTCCATCTTGGAACTGAGTCCACTCACAATACATTAGATGAGCGCTTCCCTTAGTAAGCACTGGTAAGCAATTATCTCACAAAGAAAGTTAACCTCCTTCCTCCCCTCACAATTTCTAGAACAGTGCCCTCAGGTGATGAAACCATTAAAACCATTTCATATGTATTCAATTTAATTTATATGCTTTATATTAGCGTGCCCTGAATTGCTAGATATGATTGTCTAGAGACAGTGCTCGCTCCTTTGTATATACTTACTTTTTTGTGGCATGGGGCAAAAGCCCATCTATGTAAGAGTTCCATGCAGTATGTACAGTTATCTTCTGTACAGTTTCTTACAGGTCTCCTTGTTGTTAGATCAACGGATTTCTCGATTTCCCAACTCTTAATAAAAGCCTCAATTTCATCCACATTTGTAATTACAGTTCTATTTTGCATTTTCAGGTCATCCCCTGGATCGCCATTGCAGACACCTTAACAAATGAGCATAGAACATTTAATATGTTAGACAGTAAATTAAAAGGTTTGATTTATTCTGCAATAGGGAAAGAGCAATAGGGAAAGAGCTCAGAGCAGGCAGAAAAGCTAATCTCGATTTGTGGAATGATACAATCTAGTATAAATTTCCTTCACCATTAATGTAAATAGGCCCTGTTATGATCCAGTCATCTTCTGGTAGAGAGATACAAGTAAGTCCTTTACTAACTACAGGCGACGACTATGTTGTGCAGGGGTTCTGTTCCCAACCCCAATGGGCCCGCTCCACCCTCATACCACCCCCATTCTTCCCTCTTCCGGGTCCAAAAGGAGCCATATGTTGGCGATTGTGCATCATTTGGACCTGCCTAAAATGGTCGCCACCTGTACTCTTCTTCTATGTTAACACAATCATTGGAAGTTGCTGCTGAACAAGACACAAGCTTTACCAGCAATACCAGTATCTGGGGTGGGGGGTGAGTGAGAGAGACAGAGAGGCAGACATCAGATCATGGATAAGACTTTTGGTTTTGGTTGGCAGGACACTGGATAGCAAGCATACTCAGTTAATTTTTTTTAAGAAATAAAACAGCTGTGGATCAAAATGAAGATATTGATTAGAAACCATGTTCTCACCACAAAGGCCTTCAGTCTTGGTAGATGTATTAGAATGAAAGCCATACTGGATATCTATAATGCCTGTGACATGAGCCCACTTAATGTTGATGCCAGCTGGCGTGTTGACTACATACATAGCACCAGTATCTTGAATACATAAACCATGTTTTGAGAAAGGCAAAGGCTGAATCATAGAATCCACGACCACCTAAAAATAAAGAAATGAAAAAAATGCAGGATAACTGTATCTAGGTGAAACACCTCAATCTGCCCCAGCCTCATTGCTGTTCTTTGTAAATAAATAGACATGGCCAATCAAAGCACATTTTTAATCACTTGCTTTCTACTATTTAGTTTGCCCCCTTGAGGCCAGGCTAGGAAAATAAATTATTTGTCAAGGAGATCTGGTCTCAAATCTCCCACATGATATCTAATTTGACCCTCTGAAGGCCAACCAATGGGGCAGATATGACTTGCTTGTCATAATCCCAAATATCTAAATGCATGTTTGCAATTCTGGAAAAGGTTTTCCTATTTCTTTTACTTATCCACAATAGATTTCTAATAGTATTAGTCTTCACTGAATATTCCTCTTAACTCACCTTTCTTTCTAAACGATTGATAAGTACTATATGTGAAGGTGTTGTTACATTAAGTTTCTTAAAACAAAGACCCGAAGCACTTCCAGGTGGAACCTTGAAAGAAAACAGAGAACAATATGGCACCATCAGCACTAATTGTAGTGTTCGCTTACAGATATATTAAAATCATATTTAGAAAAATACTCACTAGTCTTCTTATTGAATTGGCACTCTGAAAAATAGGTATAAACATGGGTTAGAATCATAGTTACATAAAGCAGTACAATTACAGCATTACGTAAGATCCATATTTCTAATACTACAGTTCTGCTAATTGGTCAATGAATAATCCATCCAGAATCCCTCACACAAGGATTGCACATTATGAGATTATAATACATAATAGAAAGAATGATCTCATTTATTTCTTACTAGAGATAATATTGATTTGCAAATTTCCTTTTAAAAGCACTATAAACAATTTTTTATTGGTGGTGGAGGGGGAGTAACCCTTTTAATATTGCATAGTAGTACACAAGGTTCCTACCTGATTTGTAGGGCACCTTTCAATATGAGCAACAATAATTTCTGTGGGTAGCTTGACTAAAATATAGGACGCTACTTTATACAATGCCACGTTATTTCCATCAAATGTAATAATGCTCAGTTCAGACAGGACAGAACATTGACCTAGGAAAAAAGTGACATCTAATAACCAGCAATTCAGAGATATTTTTTTAAAAAATGACAAAGGACTTATTTTGCTAGAGGGGTTACTTCACATATTGAAATGCACAGAAAATTCACGGAATAGAAAAATACTAAAAAAAATATGACAACTGTTCAGCAGTACAATCCTATTACTCTGAAGTTAAACTGTGGGGGTTACATTCAAGGAAGCTTGGATAGGATTTCCTGACATGATTACATCATTTCCTAGGACTGCTTCATATATTATTAAGTCAATAGGCGCATTCCTATGCAGCAGTAGAGTATATCCTAAGAAGCATGTTACTTTTTCTCCACTGTATGTCAGGGATTTAGAACTTACAAGGACATTCCCATTCTGGACAGCAGCTGTCACTGTTTACTTGGACTGGCATCCCACGGAAACCGCAGTCAGGCTTCTCCACAGTCTTATGGCAGTTCTTTGAGAGGTTGTACAGCATCCATCCCATATTAATGCACACGTACTGACTACATCTGTCTACTGGATCAAGATACCTTGGCTGTTTCATAATGGGGGGAGAATTGGGAGACATTAACACCAGTCTTGATTTTATTCCATGAACCAAGATGCCCCTTCACCATACAAAAAAGAAAAGATAAACTCTAGAGAGTATGTCTGCATATTATGACGATAAAGATATTGTCTTTGAAGCAGCTTTGAAGAACAAAAAGAAATAATGTACAAATCAAAATAATAAATGGTCTAATAAAATTTTAGAATGTTAAGTAAATTAAATAAGTAGGTAAAAATGTCCTCACCGTGCATTCTGCGGATGTCGCAGATATTAATGTATGTATCATTGTGCCAAAGGAAGCATATTCTGCACCATCTGTAGTCACCATCTCCATTTCAGCCTTTGAAGTTTGGACCTCCAATTGCTCTGCAGTTAAGTGAGTTGAATCTGCTATTGTGACATTCTGCAAGCTGGTTGTTCTCATTTCCTCGGGCTCAGCCACACTATAGTAAGGCCTAATTGATTTTGGTGGTGGAGCTCTAGACCAATCGGATAATGTTACATCTATCAGATCGTCTGAGAGAGAGACTGGTTTCACCGAAGCCCTTCTGCTTGCACTGATAGCCAGAGTCATCTGAGTGGGAAGCAGAGAAGATTCCTCAGTGCCTGTGTACTTAGTGACTTTTTCTTGTATTTCTGAGGTCTGGCTACTTTCTGAGGCATAAGCGGTCGCATTTCGAAGTTCTGTAGCATGTGTCGCTCCCAGCTCTATCCAACCTGAGGTAGTCCCTTCATCCATTTTAGTGGGTATAGTTCTGAAGTCTTCTGTGGAAGGTTTGGGTGTAAACAAAGTAAAGTTTGGAGTATGCGTAAGTGTTTGGGAGGTAGTAGGAATTGGGAATGACGTAGTAGCAGTGTGGTGCTCAAAACCGATAGGATAGAGTTCAGTGACTAGAGCAGTTTTGCTAGGAACTGTCATGCCTGCAGAGGAAGGTAGTAAACTTACTGGTGGGCTAAGGGTATACTTTTCGGTGACATTTGTTGGGGTTGATGTCATATTCCAAAGAGCACCCATGGTAAATGCTGGCTCTGAAGACTGAGTACTGATTGCACTGGGTAATGAAGATAACGTTCTACCATCCACTGAAGAGGAACTCCTTGTTCCTAAAAATAGCATGGGCATATCAGAGGCCTCCAGAGGAGGCAAAGATGAAGCATTTATTGTGGAAATAGTTGGACTTAAAGTTGACAAAGCTGAAGGAGAAGCTGCAGGGTAAGAACCCGGGCTTGTTGAGGTAGGATGTTCACCAACTGGCATTTGTATGAGAGTGCTAGCTGGCATCACAGCAGAAGTTTTGCCAATTGTGGGAATCACCGATGAGCTTTCAGAATAAGAGGCTGAGACAGAAGAGGTTTTTGGTAACACTGTAAGTAATGTGGAGGAACTTGTGAAAGCAGATAGATGTCCTGGAAGCACTGCAGAAGTGGTGAAACTACCCACACTTCTAAGAGTAGAATCAGTTTTTAATCCTGTGTGTGGGCCAACTGAATGCATACTTATTTTCGGAGTCATTTGTGTTGTATCATATAAAATACTCGTAGGTAACAAAGGGGTTCTACTTGGCAAAGCTCTGGTACCAGCAAACTCTAATGAACTTACAGAAACAGTTGGCACTGGAGATGAACCAATGTGCAATGCATGCTTGCTTTCTGTCGCAACTGTTTTTGTTTCAAGTGATTGGGAGGTTTGAGGAACATCTGGAAGCGAAGCAGTGGAAGGTCCTATATGAAAGCTCTTTGAGATAATTGTAACTTCCCCAGTTGCTTTGGACATTTGAGACGTAACTGGAGGAGACACCAGTGTAGACATTGCCTGTGTCACTTGGGGACTCAATGAAGACCGCATGGTTGTAGGGCTTGGTGAAGCAGCTGAGGATGGTGTTGTAGTAGAAAAATGCTTTGTGGTTAAGGGAACAGCATGTTCAGAAGGTGTTATAAGTGCTTCTGGTGATGATAGAGGTGTAGGCAGCAGCACTTCTGAGTCAGGTCGAGTTGTCATTGAGCCTGAAACTGGTATGCTATAAGGAGGACTTGAAGAAAAGGCAGTAAATCTAGATGCCAATAAGGGAATTTGAGTTGTTGTAAGCACAGGCATATGAGTCAAACGAATAGTTGGCTCGGACATAGTAGACCTGGTTCTTGAAGTCACAGTAAGCGTTTCTGTTAATGGTGAACCTGAAAACAGACTTGAACGAGATGTTCTTTCAGTTGATAAAGATGGCTGTGATGTTCCTGCTACCAAAACCTCAGACTTGATTGTGGAAGGACCTCCACTCACTAAGATGCTTGTAGGTGTTTTAGCAGAGGAAAATTCTTGTCCAGCAGGTAATGCGGCAGATCTCAATGGTATAGGTGATGTGGATATTAAAGGAAAGGAAGACAGTGATGGTTCAGCTGTTGATGCAGTGAGCGATGATATAAAAAAGATAGGATTTGTGGTGTAAGGTGTCACCTTTGCTGTAACTGCTGTGGCTTCCTTAGTGGTTGGGAGAGCTGTTGGGGATATAGGTGCAAGTAGCACAGAGGGTGTTGTAGTGCTGTAGCTACCTTCAGAAGAGTGCTCTGGAACTGGTAACAGTGTTGCTGAATGAAAATCCGAAACTATTTTCGCCGTAGTTTGTCCTCCAAATGTCCCCACCCTCTCAGTTGCCATTTGGGTAGTTAGATTAATATATGTTGTCTCAACCGCTTCAGTGACAAGCACAGGGGGCATATGAGGAAATGTTTGTGCCGTGTCCACTGTATGGGGGCTTAATACGGTGGGCCTTGTTCTCAGTGGCTTTACTGTCGTTGAAGCTTCTGTGGCTTTCACAGGTATGCCTGTAAAAAGAGTATGCTTCAGTATTATTCCATAGTAATGAAAGGGAAGGGAAGCAGGAAGCCATCTAGATTCAGGCTCTCCAGCTTCTTAATAAGGTAGAAGATAGAAAGTCAGACTCTTCCTAGGCCTGAACGAGTAGCAATAGTAGATTTTGCTGCTTTGCTTAATAAAATTATTGTACAAGAAGCAATGAGGTCTATTTAAAGAGTTGAATCCCACAGTTTTGTTTGAGAACAAAGCATTTCATAATTTTTTAAAAAAAATATGCAGCCAATACACACACACACAAAAATATCAGCTTTTCTTTTACTTATTCACATATAAGAGGTGATCTTTCATTTCTACAATTAATAGTCCAATCTTATATATGTTTGTCAAGAAATCCCAGTCAGTGCAGTGCGTCCTGCTCCTGAGGCAATGCTGCATAGGATTGCTTCTCCAGAAATATATTAATAAAAACAAGTGGGGCCTGCAATAAAATGTAACCAGGATGGTGCAGTGATCGTGTTCATTATTCCAGCCAAACATCCATGCTTATTCCATCCCCCACCTTCCAAAAGACAGTCAGCAGTCCATGTCTACTCAGCACACTTAGTCTGCATTGAGCTGTTTGAGGATTTTTGCCTCCATAGGGTTCCCCCATCACCACAAAGATGTTTGTGGGGCTTATGCAAAAATTTCCCTGGTTTCCCCTGGTGGACTGAACCCTCCCTCCTGTTCATGGACAAGCCATTTGGCAACATAAGAAGCAACACTCAGATAACTGAGTTTGCAATTGGTATATTTGCTTATTTAAAACTTTCAGATATACCATATATCAGTAAAAATGTATTTTTCATAGGCTGCACTAAGCGACTTATACCTTTAAATTTACTGCAGTATAATATAACACCTTTAACGTTAGTGATGCACAGACTAACTTTATATCAAAATAACTTTATATTAACATACTACAGTATTCTAACAATCTACTCAAAAGATATAGGAGACACTTACAGTCTTCTGGATAAACACATTTAAGTGTGACTTCATCAAGAATCATATCTTTGGGACAGTATGGTAAGCATCCTTCAACTCTAAAAGGTTCAAGGAAAACAACAACAACACAATAATTCTTTTGTAGTCATTTCAAAAAGGCAAGAAGCTTAAAGTTTGCACGGCTGCTCCATAAAATTCAAAATACATGACACAAAATGGAAATGGTTGAAAACTAGTCTCTGTTTCAATACTTGAATTCTATACTTCAGCTCTGAACAAGGCATCCTTTGCTCATTACAACGGAAGATATTGTCTGAAAATTGCCAGGAACTTCAAAAAACACACTGGTGGAAAACATAAGCAAGTTTCTAATGTAAGCAGAACTCAAGTCCTCTTCAAATGTTACTTAATTCCCAAGGACGCTACTCAGAAAGATATATTTTTCTGAATACGGAACTTAATGAGCCGTAATTGGTCGAAAAGGCAAATGTGGCAACACGGTGGAAAATAATATCCCAAGATTAGTATGTTAATTATTACATGAAATATTAATTATACTCACGGTGGAAGAAATTTACATGCTACTCCTTCAGGGTCACTGCATGTTTTAACACAAGGACTTATACAAGGTTCGTATCTCCATTCACACATCCTCCTATAAGGTACTGCTGTATGGAGTTCTGAGAAACAACAAAAGCATCAGATTGGGCACATGAGTGTAAACATCAACTATATTTGAACACCCACAAGGAAACTGAAGGGGGAGTCCACTCTATGGAGGACAAGGGAGTACATGTTCCCAGTGCCACCACCCTCCTTGTACATGTTGGTTTTCTTCTTCTTTTGGAGACAGATTGTGTCTACACTGAGTGATACAACAGAAACAGATGACTGTTATAATATTAATATCCACCTGTTTCTATTGCATATCATTTGAGATGGTCTTTTCTTCTCCTTCACCATTTGAACACTGAAGAAACATGTGTCACAGGAAAGTTGGGTCAAGGGAGTAAGACAGAGGGAGGGAGACAAAGGCTGGGCATTCAACAACAAATTGCCCTGTGAGACGGATCCCAATGAATTGTTAAATTTTTAATACAGTGATGCTAGTTATGTATTTTTGTTACTTGTAAGTCACCATGTAAGGATTTGTGATTTGAAAGGTGGGATACAAATAAGAGGAAAAATTAGGATCACTGCTGAGTATTTCCATACAATAGGTGCAGTAGAATATCTATCTAATCTATAAATTGTCTTTCCAGCTTAATAACCCTTAAGATAATATATGTGAAAATCATGACAACACTAATTAAAAGTAGAACATAAAACAACAGCATGAAAGCAGAGATCATAGCACAAAAGAGGCAGCATAAAATCAATGCAAACACAAAGGCCAGCAAAAGCCTGGGAGGAAATCTGAAATCTTGACACCAGTTGTGTATAAATGAAGGCTGTCTGGAAATCTATTTGTATGGAACAGGTTCATCCTAATTCTTAAAGTGGTAACAGCAAAATGAGGATACTTTAGGGTTTATTTCAGGGTGACCTGATTCGTGGACCCCTGTGTAGAGTTATGGTTCAGTTTTCACACATGTCTGAATTTTGCAATACAGTTGCAATTCTCAGCTCAATACAATTCTCAGCTCAACAAAATCTACCAAAAGGTGTTTTAAAAATAAAGTGGTTGTCGTGCTTTCTTAACAAGCTAAAATCACAGATATGGAAGCACAATGGAATGGGCTTGCAAATGAACACATAAAAACTGAGGCTGGCCGCAGATTGACTGATTTGTCCATTCTGAAGTTACAGTGTAACTGCTGCCATTATAAATCTTGAAAATGATATATCCGCAGCATTCCACACTGTCAGGGACTGGACAGAGGAGGAATGGAGGAGACCGCCTCCCCAGTCTGAACCTTCCAGAGAAGAGGAAGACAGTATAGATTTACAACAGTGGTTTGATGAGGTGACAGCTCAGAGGTAGATGAGGGGCAAAGTTGGGAAATAATGGGAGAAGAGGAGGGGGAGGCAGAGCTGGAACAGCTGGCTGACACGTTATCACTAGAAAGCATTCCAGACCCCCATTCTCCCAGAACCTGGCAAGCATTGAAAGTAGGAGAGGAAAAGGCTCAGAGACAAATGGCCCTAAGCAGCCACCATAAGGCAGGTGGTGCTGTTGACGATTGAGGAGAGAAGAGAGGTGGAGATTACTCGGACCAACATCATTACTCCAAAAGGCAGCATTCCTAAGCCTCTCTCTGTGAATATTCAATAAAATACATTGGTAAGAGCCTTCCTTGTCTATCTATACCTGGCAGCCTACCACGGGGGGGGGGGGGGTGTCAGATTCCCTGATGCCTGACACACACATTGCTCCCAGGAACATGTAGAACTCACCCTCTATGTTGAAACTGCTTGAACGTTTGAATTCTTCAGAATCATCAAACTTTGATACTTTCACAGAAGATGCTCTGAGTATGATAAAGAAACCTTTCTTGCTATGTAGTTCGAATGCACTGTAGCCTGGGATCCAAAGGCCTTGATGATGGAAAAAAGTTGCTCTTCTACGAAACAAGGAACTTGCCTCCCACTGTTCTAAGGATATGCTTTCATCATCATGGACATATAGAAAGTAGTTTGGCCTTTCAGCAGACTCAAGAGAAACCAGAGATGGAGCTGCCACAAATTAAATCCACAGCAATATATTAATAAGATTTCACCACCAAAATCAAATGGTTCATATGGTGATACTTCCGTTAAAAATCTGTTCAGTGGCAAACTAGTCCTGGCAAGGTTACATTAAAATTCTGCTAACAGTATTTTAAAAGGGCTTCTTTTCTTAGTGATTATTCCTGTTCTTGGCCTACATTAACTATGGCTGAATATCAAGTGCAATCTTATACATGTCTACTTAAAAGATAGGCTCATTGAACTCCATGGTATTCACTGGTGCCTATTCCCAGGAAACTGTGCATAGGTTTGTAGCCTGATACTTTGAATCTGATTAATATAAATAAGAGTCTGTTGTTCACCCTGGGTGTTTATCCTATAGAACTACAGCAAGGAACCTATAAGAAGTAATATTTTCTGAAATGTATGGCTGCATCTGAATGTTTCAGGGCAACCCAGTCTAGAAATTTAAGGATGAAAGTCAAATGATAATTGTACGCATTTATTTTAGACTACTTTTTTTAAAAAAAGCATTTCTCCTAAATCAAGGGAGAAAGGACTTGTACACTGATAAAGTAAAAATAAATAAAACAAAAATATTAATGATAAAAAAGGCTAAAGCCTTTGTTTCTCTTACAACTCTTTTCTTCAGGTCTATCACAAATAGATATACTCAGATTTTGGAAAAGATAGTGAAAAAGTATTCTCTGATACATAAAGATTAACATTTTTTCAACTCTGAAAACTTGAGATTTAATTACATGAAATACTGAAGATAGGACTCACATAGTATTTTATCTTTGAAAAGTCCTGGAGTTAACATAAAATTAAAATACACATTCCCACTGACACTGCTTCTTGGCAAAGGAAAGATATTTTTGCTGGTGACATTGACTCCTATAACAGTGTCATTCTGACCATAGCTGGCCAAGATATATGGTCCTTCTCCAAGTCCTGGAGGAAGAAAAATGACGGTCAGATGTTAAATGATAGCAAGAGAAACAAGCAACTTGAAACACTGATGGATTTCTTTTTATTGATGGTTGTGTAAACCTTCTTGTGACCATGTATGATGAAAACTGGTCTATAAATACTTGGAACTACCATCACTACTACAGCAGTGTTTTGGGAGAATCTATATATCCAATATATTACTATTATTTATTTTTAAAGCTCACAGAAATGCTACGTACCTTGGTTGTAATAATCACAGTCATAAGCTGAAAGAAGGAACAGGCACACCATTTAATGACATGCATAACAACTCAGAGAATAATTAGAGAATTTGTGATTGTCAGTAACAACAAGACAAGGTCACATAGCCAAGCACTAAATTCTGATTCACAAAACTCACTCTTCTGTTCTTTTACTTATAACCTGCATTTTCCTTGGATTCTATTATTAGTAAAGAAATTAGTGTCACTCTTTTGAAGACTTAAACCTTAACTGCAGCTTCTGAGATATGTTTTTTCTGCACTGCAGAACAACAACAAAAAAACTCTTAAAAATGTGTTTGTACATTTACTGATTATTATTATTTTTTGCAGCAGCAGCCAACAGTGCTAATAAATTGCTAGCTTAAGAAGAGTAGAATACAAAAGTAACATGATGTAGATACACAGGTAGATGATATATACAAATAGTCACTCGGGTAGGATTTCATCTGGTATTATCATTGAAATCAATGGTCTACTCCAAGTATGGCCAACACTGAATATTGCTTATAGTTGTAAAATGGTACAACTTTTAACATAAGGTCCATCTGTAAAAAATCAGACCAGAATTACTACTTCTTTTTAAGAATGGCAAACTGCCACATGGTGCATATTACTTGGACGTGTCTGGAGTCTTGGAAGCTTAACTACTCTACATTCTCCTACTAATGGACCTTAAGCTTGTTTGGTGGAGAACAGCACAGGGGAGCACAGCTATTGTTTACCCTTGAATTACTTCTGTGCAACCATATCTGGTATCAACCCACTAGTTACCAGCATTTGCACGGGAAACATTGCTGTACTAGAAATCAGTTAAAGAAAGTATGGAATAATCTGCTTTCCAGAGATTATGCTTGATGGCATAATGAATAGCAAAACATACGTACGACAGAGAGATGGAGATCGCCAGTGAATTACTGCACCCTGCTGGCAGCATTTGTGAGCATAAGCTGCAATACTTGTGCACAGACATTCACAGTCTCCGCCAAGATTACAATTGCAAGTATCTGTATGGCAGTTTTTGACGAATGATGTCACATCAATCTGAAAAATACGGAGAAAGTCAGATTCAGAGTAGCAGAGGAGGGAAATGAGGGGATCTGTTGAAATGAAATTGTTGTGAGAGGTTACTGAAAACAATTATGGAAAGAGGCCCAGGTAAATTGTACACCACAGAGTGGTGGTCATTCTAAAAGGAGTCAACTTTCACAAACCTAAGGATAAAACAAGTAAAGAAGTCATTTAATGGGCATATTGATGAAAGTGTAGAAACAAGCAGCAAACATTGATCTAAGGACACCAGGAGCACGAAACCAGCCAGAGAGAGTAAGATGTTAGATGACAAAGATGCCAAGGACTCCTCGATGAGAACAAGAAAACTGATTGACCCTTTGCTTCAGCCGTCACAGCACAATATGTTAAACAAATAGCCACAGGTGAACTATTATTTTCAAGGAGGAGATCTGTCTCACAAAGAAGCGACAAAGAGTACAGCTTTAAACTGACAAATTCAGAATAATCATTTATCCAGGGTTGGAAGGCAGGAGTTCTTTTAAAAACTCAAATACAAAATTCCTGCTTGTTTAATGAAAACGTGCACCTTATTATTAAAACTGGCCTCCTTAATAGAAGATGTGTAGTCAGGAAAGCTAACTCCAGTTTTTATTTTTGTTTTAAGGACCTGGGAAATTATAGACCTGTCAGCCGAACATTTGTCCTCAAAAATGGGTAGAAAACATGAAAATTAGAAGTCTGAAAAACTATGAGAAAACTAGCTTAGCTGACGATGCACTTTTGAGAAACAAAGCATGCATGTGGAAGTTTGACATTTGCTTTGAGATTAAATGGAAACCAGAAGTGGATAAAATAAATCTGACTACCAAAAGTGGTTCAAACACTGTTGTAGCAGCAGCAGCAGCAGCAGCACAATTAAGAACATCAATAATAATGGCATAAACTCATACTGAATTAAAGTAACTTTTGGGGGTTAGATTGTCTGTAAAGAGAAATGTTATAACCAAGCAAAGAAAGACCATGCTCTTCAGTTATAAAGCAAATGCTGCCATCTACTGTAATGATTGGCCACGCAGCTGAAACTAACATGCCTGTCAAATCTAGCCAGCAGCTCATCCCATCTGCTTATTGTCATCTTAGCATGATATCACCATCACCTTTGAGTTGTGCTTTCCCAATTTCCTGGGTCCTCTTTTCAATTAGTCCAAAGCACTATTTATTTATTTTGTACATTTATATATCCCCACCACTACCACTTTAAAGGCAGCCTTCAATAATGCCCCAGGAAAATAATGGCAATCCTGATGTGAACTTGGGAAGTAAACAGTGGGGAAATGGAACTGGTGGTTAGTGATGGGCTTCTGGTAACTTCCCCAGGTATGCTTCCTAGATAATACAGGCCTCCTTGTTCCATGTTCTATGGTGCAGTTTGGTATCTCCCTGTGTCAGTTTCTTCATTCAATCTTAGACACAGAAATCATAACCTACCAACAGATTACAAGAGCCAATAGCAGCCTGCTAATAATACATTGTATGTACAATTCAGTAGTGATAAGATAAGGAGTGTGAGATGGCAGCTTGCTGGCCAGCCAGAAAGGAAAAGGACAGGAATATTTCAAACCCAAACAACAAGTATCTTGGTACATCTTTTCAATAAAAAAATATTTTGGAGCTACCCTGCTTTTGATATGCTGCTCTTGAAAGGAGAATGCCACAAGTTTCAAAGTCTTCAGGTGGGGACTACTAAGCCCAAACTGGAAGGATATGGAGGAACAGCCTATGGCTTGTTCCCCTGTAGCATCTGCTAAGTAGATTCCTAGAACAGAGCCCAGGGACATTATGTGGTGTGGTGGCTCCCTTGCCCTTCAAATGAGCAGCTGCTCATCTTGTGGACCAGGACTGAGCCAACAAACTTTGCTGCCTGAGACAGTCTCCCCATACAGAAGCAAATCAGATTGGAAGCAGAATCTTACTTCAACCTCTGGCAGTGTCTTCTGCTTAACCTGAGGGCAGCAACTGCAGGATGCATGGTACACACAGCTCTGTAGCACGATTGCTTGACACTGATCATCACCCTCCGCACCTCACCATCTGGTGCCTGAAGCAGGTACCGTACCTAACAGCAGGGCTAACTAAGCCTGTTATGAGCCAGGTGTTAGTGCCACAGCAACTCTTACATTTGGCAAGCAGAGATCCAGAGCAAAGATGTGCTTTCTAGATAGCTTAGGAAATATATACTTACCACATTGCGACAGGGGGCAAAAATATCACTGTACAAAACTGAACATTCCTTTTTGGCATAAGGGAACTTGCTCTGATGTACTTCACATGGTTTTATGGTCTCATTTGGACTAGCACACTGAAATCACAAGCACTTGTTAATAACTTTGGGTACATTACACATTTGTTGCACTGCAAACCCCTTTAGAAACGCCCACCAATCTGCCCCCAGCCTCTGAAATAAGACCCTGGCATTCCATGTTTTTGTTCTATTTTCTCCTAAACCTCACACTTTCCTTAGAGCTGAAAATATTAAGCTAGAATGGATCCTTCTTTATTGTTTTGGTTTTTTTTGAAAAAACTCATGTTCTCTTCCCCCCCCCCACCCGTCCTTTTTGGCAAACAACATGTTTTCTTTATCGCACATCATCACTGTTTCCACAGCAGCCATCTGTAAATCATAAACAGAGCATTGTTTATCCAATGTACCATTTAGTTTAAACTTTAGTGCTCTGGCAATAAGGACAGAGTCACTAACTTTAAATGAATAACTTTAAATTCTGCAGGTGACAAAAGGATTTAATTGCAACTGCCAGTTTAACATTTTGGAATATGATTTTTGGGGGTTAATATGGATGATTTTAACAACAACAACAATTGTAATTAATTTAAAAAGTTTAAATGAAGAAGCAACAGTAGAAATAAATTAATTCAGGGACCATAGAGGGTCACAAAACACAAAAGACCATCAACATTAGTGGAAAACAACAACTCTCCTAAGGTTTTTAAGGAAAGGCAGGGACCAGAGTGGGAGAGATGTTATCTGTAACATATACAAAGATCCACACACAAAACAATTTTGTACACAAATATTGAGTGCCATTCACTCAGAGTAGACCCACTGAAATTAACAGAACTACCTTAGACATGTTGATCAATCTCAATGGGTCTAATCTGAGTAAAACTACCATCTATTATGTATATACCATATAAACACCGTGATGTATTGCAGATGTCTGTGTTTTATTTCCCTGGGTATACAGAAGGCAACTCCTTCCCTGGAGACTGCTGCTTCTAGTCATGTATTAAAACAGACGTGTGCATATTTGTCAGATGTTGCCGAAGTACATGCATTATACACAGGGTTGTTTTTTAAAAAATCTATTAGTGGCATTCATGTAGGGAATAATCTTATATGAAGCAGCCCTCAGATGGAGCTGTAAAGATGGTGAGAGAAAGCAGAGGATGGAAAATTAGTCAGAGCATTTATAATCTGATGTGGCAGCACAGGAGCAGGGAGGGCCAAGGTCATTGCACTTTTGAATTGCAACAGCAAAGGCGGGAAGTCATGGGGAAGAAATGCCTGCATGCTCTCAAGCAGCTGTGCTTCAGCAAAATAGGAGATGTTACATTGAGCTACGTGACTACAGTCTGGTGGGGGGGGGGGAACAGAGCAGGAAATAAATTTTAAACATTGTCATACAAGCTGTTTGGCCTATAGCACAGTAAATGTAAGCACTTTTGTGTATTATATACACAAACAGAAACTCTTAACGGGTTTCACTGTGATGCTCTTGTCATCCTCTTTGTCTTGTGCCGATGAAACAAAAGCCTTTCTAGGTACTAGAGTAGGGGTGGTTAGCCTGGGGCCCTCCTGATGTGGCTGGAATATACAAATTCCTTCCTCAATGGAAGCTGCAGTCCCATCAGCTTCTATGGGGCCAAGATGCATTGCATCTCCTTTCGTATTTGCTCGCTCCACATGGCAACCATGTGGAACAGTGGAAATAAGGTGAATGTGCAGAAGTATGAGAAATGGTTGGCGACAGGACAGTGAACTACCACACCCAGAACCTGTCAAATTGATGGCCTACTAGTTGCTGGTTTAATGGTAATGCTGCTTCTACATTTCTTATACCCTCACCATCAGTTGCCTGTTTATTTTCAAAATGAATGGATATATCCTGCTTACCTGTCCTATTTCCCAGCTCTCTCCAAAGACTTGAGCATTTCTTACTTCCATGTTGCTGGATGTAGTCAGGTCATTTGAAGTGAATTTATCAAAATTGCCACATAAACCAGCCAGTTTACCCTAGAATTAAAACAGGATGATATAGTTAATGATTATTTTCAATCAAAATAGTCAAATCAATCAAAATACAGTATCAAGATGAATACACACACACACACACACACACACACACACACACACACGTGTTTCTCCATACAGCTTGACTGAACACCATCTCAGGACATAATATATGTCTTCATTTTAAAGACTTCTATGCACTGATTATAGAAACACACTTCAATAAAAAGGCTATGCTCGGTAGAAAATATTTGAAGTTGCTTTTGCTGAGGACCGGTAAATAAGACAAGCTTCCATCCAGTTACTGACCCAGCTTTTCACCTCACAGCAGGATGGTATGCTCATCTTTGGCAGTGGATGGGGGGAGATTTTGAGCAGCCCCAGTCAGAATGGAGGAGACGCTTTAGTTCTCTCTCTCTCTCTCTCTCTCTCTCTCTCTCTCTCACACACACACACACACACACACACACACCTGGAGCTGTCCTTTCCCCCAATTTGCAATGAGACAGCATAGCCCATATCCTCCCACAACCTTTTCTGACAAATAGAACCACATTTGAGTCTATAGAAATCAGAGCACTGGACCTCTAGAGGATCCCCTTCTTATGGAACCCTTGTTAATGTAGAATACTCTGAAAATGTTGACAAAAGTCAGTACCAATTACTATATTGTGAGGAAATATAGTTTGCAACTCGAAATAGACCTACCACAGGGCAGGGAATCTCAGGCTTTGTGGCCAAACAAGTCCTTCTCAGCCTCTTTATGTGACCCACAGAGATTCTCTCACATTAGCCACATCCCTCTCCCCAGACCACACCCCTCACCAGTCCTGCTTCACCCCACTTTTGTCTGGATGGAATGTGTCCCTGAACTCAGACAGTGCCTCTTGTTTGCCTGGTGAGGGGATAGAGAGGGGTATGTAAGTGTCTCCTAGCCTGTTGTGCAAAGATAAAGGTTATACTTGCTGCTCTGCTCACTACTGGCATGTGGTACCAGTGGGAATACACCCGTGGTCTGAAAAGGATGCCCTATCTCTGACTTACTGTGCAATTTATATCAATCAAGAATCTATTTGTTGAATTAACAAATTGTTTCCTATAAAAACTCTGATGCTGCAAAACAAAAGGCACCCAATCTCATATCCATTCACCTTCCATCGAACCCCCACTTTGATGTGCATTGTTGTCTTCCTATCCCATAGTATTGTGATCTCCTGATCTGGAAAATGCACTGCTGTATAATATCCAGCCTTCCAAAGCTGATACTTGGTTGTGACTTCATGTCTCCTCCGCATCCTCTGTGAAGAAATTTATATTTGTAAAAAGGCTAATAAGATCAGCTTTCCACAGATACCCAAGCCAGAGTACTAAAATGAATTCATTAAAATGTCTGAATATCATTATTCAGAACCCAGGAGACATTGTTTCTTGAAGCCAAATTGAGGTATATTTTCGGGAAATTCCTGGAAATAGTTTTGATAGCTTCTATCTCCAAACAGAAATCTCCAAACTATTTCCAGGAATATCTTCAATTCTTCATTAGGCCAAACCTTTGCAAAGGTACTTTACCATATAATTTTCATGAGGGGCAGAGTTACTTTCAATGCAGCCTAACATAATAAAACTTTGTACTAACCACAACCATGATCTAGATAATGAGTTTATCAGTTTCGCTTCCCTAGAGGGCTTTGGTCTTGTGTTGCTTTAAAAGCAATTGCCACATTCCAGTTCTCTACTACACAACAAGGAACTAAAAAGTTTCAAAAGCTTTCTATGATACCGCACACAGGTATCCTCTTAAATTCAGGATATGTGCACAAGCCTTTGGCTCTACCTGAAACAGCCATCTGGATTGTGGCCAACATAAGGGAGATCCACTGTAAACTAAAGTTGTGCTAGATGTGGTGAACGAATGAAGTTCCAGTGCATAGGGGCACAATCAAGTGAAATGTTTAGCACATGGAGGTGATGAGTAAATTATTTGCCATATGAAAAGCTGATGTGAAAACTGGGCCATTAGACTGTCAGTTTTTTAGCCTAAATAGGTTGCTTTAAACAGAGGCTTTTCAAGAATAATTATAGTAGGTTTGGCTCTCTCATATCCTTGGAGAAGGAGAAGCCACATTTGCTAGATGTTTCCTACCACAGATATATTCCTTTGGTCATCTGTTGACAGCTCTTTGGGCATGACTACATTGACATTTCTCCTAGGCTTATGACCAGTGTGGTTTTATTTTTAAGCTTTCTTCTTTCAATTGAAAGTTATATTGCGTTGTATGATGGAGGTCTTCCTCAGAAACCCCATGGGATGGGAACTAAAAAGCTGAACAATACCATGGTTTCAAAAAAGTTCAGTGCTGTCCAGCAGGATGCTAATTGAACAGAGGTCCATGTGGGGGTGGGGGGACAAGAAAATGATGTTTTAGTTGCTGTTATGTGGGTTGGGCTTTTTCCCCCCTTACATTATATTTGTTTAGACAAATTGCATTTTAGTTAGCAAGTTGTACTGTGCTTCAGTGAGTAAAGGGCGTGTCAGAAAAGGGAAAACAGAACTTACCTGTATGGCTAGGGGGTCATTGAAAAAAATCTCAGCGTCTCCAACAGAGATAAAGACACTTTTTGAACACACAATGTCGTTATCAAAGCACTTTTTGTTCTGAATGATTATAGATAAGTTTGAACTGTCTACACCCTGTAAAAGAGAAAGGATTATTGTGAACAAACACGGTTATACATCACTGCAGCAGGCGCATGACAAAACTACAGGCTATGTGTCAGATACTGCATGTGATTCCCTTAACTGGACTCCAGCTGCCTTGGGCTGTTTCTGGTTCAACCTGAGTTAACACTGTTTTAAATCAAGTTATGTCAGGTCGACCTAGATATAAACTGAGATAAACCAGAATGCAGCCCAAGGAACAGATGTTACCCATTCGGCTGCATAATGTATAAGTGGTTGGAATGACTTGGGATAACTGAAAACACCATTCCCATCTTGAAGACTGAATTTGTCAGCCAACACTCTATGTCTATGGAATCTTCCCAGAAGAAGACTTGCAAACTCATCCACAGATTGAAAAGGAATGTGGTTCCTCCTTTCAGCTTACTTGTATAACCTATTCGATTTTAGGATCCTAACCAAATAGCTTCTTCTCAACCTCCATCATCCCCATTTAAAACTGAGGGTTAACAACTCATTCCAAGGCACTTCCTAAGGTGGGAAACCCTTGTTTCTACAAATCAAAACTACCTTAGAAATATTGAATGTATAAAACCAGCAGAAGTGCACTTGTGCAATTGTATCACTTAATCTGTAGTTGCAGAATGTTGACACATTCCTGCCTGCAACCTGAAATAGCATAGCCTAGAAAAAGCTCGAATTAGCTTGTTTCAATAGGCCTTCAATTATAAAATACAGTGGTACCTCGGTTTATGAACTTAATCTGTTCCAGAAGTCCGTTCTTAAACCGAAACCGTTCTTAATCTGATGCGCGCTTGCCCTAATGAGGCCTCCGCGCGCTGGTGCCCTTCCACCGTTCAGTTTCCGTTCTTAGACTGAGGTAAAGTTCCCAATCCGGGACACTACTTCCAGTTTTGTGGAGTTCGTAAACCAAATAGCTCTTAAACAGGGCTGTTCTTAAACCGAGGTGCCACTGTACTGCATTTCATTATATGACAGTACCCCAGAAGCAGACTGGGGTGTGGGCAGGAGGGAGAGGGGAGGGAGACAACCTTACTGTCAAGTATTTCACCAGTCAATTGTAAAACTAAGTTGTGTAAAAAATAAGAAAAGTTGGGGAGGTGTAAAACAGCAGGTCTGAAGTGGCACACACATCTTTTTACCTGCGGCACACTTGAATGACTACAGGTGATGACACTGACCACATAATTTTAATTGCTAATTAACTAATTTTATTACTAATTTAATTAAGTAATTTTATTACTAATTAATTAAATGTGTGTGTTGCGTATGCTGAAGCCTCTAGGCAACCTGCAACATAGAAAATGGGAAATACAATTACATAAGAATGTCAGTATTTAATCCCAACATGTCTGCCGAGATGACAAATCAACCAAAATATAACTCTTGTCAATCATATGAGTAGATAAATTGCCTTATGCTGCCATTTGCTCCATCTAGCTTAATTTCTGTCTATCCCAGCTGGCACCAGCTTTCCAAATTCACAAGCAGTGGCCTTTCCTGGCCCTGCTACTTGAGACACTTGAGTTGTTGGAGAGAGAAGGTGGGCCTTTCTGTGTGCAAATCATGTGCCTCTCCACCTTTTTGTATGCTGGCTCAATGATGCTATGGCAAAGAGTGAAAAGGCACATTACTATAATGGGTAATTACATCTGGCCCCAGCCTCACTGCATACAGTGCTACATAGAGGTAAAGGTAAAGGGACCCCTGACCATTAGGTCCAGTCGTGGCCAACTCTGGGGCTGCGGTGCTCATCTCGCTTTATTGGCCGAGGGAGCCGGCGTACAGCTTCCGGGTCATGTGGCCAGCATGACTAAGCCACTTCTGGTGAACCAGAGCAGCTCACGGAAACGTCGTTTAACTTCCCGCCGGAGCGGTACCTAGTTATCTACTTGTATTTTGAAGTGCTTTCGAACTGCTAGGTTGGCAGGAGCAGGGACCGAGCAACGGGAGCTCACCCCATCGCGGGGATTCGAACCACCGACCTTCTGATTGGCAAGTTCTAGGCTCTGTGGTTTAACCCACAGCGCCACCCGCATCCCGCTACATAGAGAGGAATAAGCATATTCCCATCAGGCTGCAGAAGAGGGAAATCAGAGCTATTCCATCAGCTCTTTGGAGAGAACTGCCTTTACCTCTTTTCCTTCTGTCATCTAGCATTGGTTATTCCATCATCCCATTTCCATCCTGGCTATTTACTATAAGAAGTGTAATTTTCAGAACTGGTGGCTGAGTTTACTTTGTTCCTCCTCCCTCCCCATCCCTTTTTACTTTTTACCCTATCCTTTAGACTGAAAGCCAATAGGCAGAGCCTCTCTCTCTCTCTCTCTCTCTCTCTCTCTCTCTCTGTATGTGTGTGTGTGTGTGTGTGTGTTTGGCTGAACAGCACAGTAAAAATGCTTTAAGTAAATGAAATTCAATTTTAAAAACCCATCTTTGCATAACCACTTTCAGGAGCAGAGCTACATTTACCTTTTAAGGTAATACACAAAGACGGGAAGTACATTGGTCTGCCATGTGAAGTCAACTTACACTGATAGAAAACAAAAACAAAATGCTCCCCCACCCCACCCCCTAAGCCTTGCTTCTGTCTTCCCATTAAATTACCAAAACAAGCCTGTTCTTACTTGGTATCAACTTCTTTGGGATAGTGGGGTGTTGCTAAGCAATGGAGAAACAAGGACAGAAATCTGGGCAAGCAACCAAAAACTCAGCAAAGGGCCTGCATTTGCAGAAAACAGTATATCATACGTTGACTAAATAATGAACTTTATAGCCTTCGGATGGAAAAAAGTAGACTGTCAGAAGAACTAAGTGTCACTATTTTGAATTTGAAGGTAAACTAAAATGTGTTTTCTGTCACATCAGCCAATAAACTATTACAAGTATACCCCAAATCTTAGCTTAATAATGAGTGATATCCAGCTAAGGCATGCTCAGAGTAGACCCACTGAAATCAATGGGGTTACTTTGAATATGACTAATGCTGGAAATCACCCAAGGGCTTTCACAATCTAATGAGTCATATTTTAAACATAATCTCTCTCTCTCTCTCTCTCTCTCTCTCTCTCTCTCTCTCTCTATATATATATATATATATATATATATATATATATATCACACACACACCCCAACACCCAAGCTGGCTATAACATTCAGAATTAGAATATGAAACAAACAGTGGTAAGCTAGACCTGCAATTGCAGCCATTGAAAAAAAAAAACTGAGGAAAAAACTGCCAATAGTACAAAAGGGATCCATCCAATATCTCATTTCTTCTACAACCAAAAATGAATTATTTTCATTTCGTGCATACTAATTCTGACTAAGCACTATGTCCCCTTTTGTCTCTTGAATGATGGAAGAGAGCGTAGAGAGAAAGAAATTCCATCCACCCCCTTCTCCTTCATCATACTGAACCCTTTGGAATGACTGGCAGTAGAGTCAGAACAGACACCTACTCTCCAACACATTGAAGGCAAAAACTAGGATGCTATCTTTCTGTTTTTTTCTCACAAGAGGACAACAGCCATTTTGGGCACTGTGATCTTGTGTGTTTACATGCCATGATTTCACCCTGAAAAAGTGCTTTTGTGGGGCACAGTGCCCCTAAGTGTGTGGTCTGGGGCGCCACACAGGATTGTGCCCCTCCAAAACATTTTTTTGGGTGGAAATTGTGGTGCAAAATCATGCAAGTTCATGGCTCCCCAAATGGCCGCTGCCCTCTCACGAGAAAAAAATGAGATGTCTCAGTTTTTCTGGGACAGTTGCAGATGGTATGCAGGATGAAGTACTTCATATAAAATAATTATGTGACCTGGGAGCTGGAAGGATGTTGGGGAAGAGAGTACTGTGCCAATATCACTGTGGTGCCGCTACTGACACAATTTAGGGCAGCCAAAGATACTGTGGTGCCAGATAAGGCAAAGAGATATTAAATAAGTTACCAGATCTGCTTACACATGCATCTTACAGAAATATAGTTCACAGAAAGATATTTACTGGAGACAATTGCATGCCACAAAGGTTACTGGTTAACCAACCAATATGAGAAAAGGCAATGCATAAAAAATGACAAGCTGCACACCAAAAATCACTTCAGGTCTATGATAAAATTCAGGTATTTTGCCACCTGCTTCATAATAAACTTATTGGTTCCCTTGATGAAGAGACTCAGAAGGGTCTCTGGATACTGTCCAGAGAAACAGCTCATAGCTGTGTTGTACTATGCTTCTGTTGCAATTTCACACATTTTATTGTGATGTTTTTAATTATTATTTTAAAGTCTGCTGCAATTTATCAATTTATTACTCGTCACTTGCTGGGTATGATTACAGCAAATAACAAGATTTTGACTATGTGGTTGTTTATTTGGCCACTTTCCTCAAAATGAAAGAAAGGCAAGTAAAAAATCAACCCATAATTATTTAGTTATTTTCCTTGCCATTGCAGATGACAAGCTGTGCAAAGAGCTCCTAAAACAATTATGGTATACAAAGAGGACTTTCTATAAACAACCATGGTATGAGCAGAGTTCTTAGCAGTGTATTCAAGCTGTTTTGTCTTTCTTCTTCTCTACAAAAGATTTCTGCAGCATTCTCATTCAATAAATAGGATAAAATGGACGCTCAATGACTCCTATAAAAGTGTTTTTAAAAAGGATGGTTGTGTTGAATGAGACAACTAATAAGAGACCTAAAGCTGCTCTTTGATTTCAATAAAAACTCTTACTAATGATGTAATGTGGAAAGACAATTAATGTAGTTTTTGAAGAATACAACTACTGCTATGAACAGTTCTCTTTTGTGTCATTTATTCGGTTTTGCGCCACTGAGTATCAGATTTGGCATTTTATTGGGTTACATTGCAGCAATCCTTTCCTAATTAAAAACATGATAGTCCCAAGATTAAGGTTTGAGAAGGCTCGAGTATCCATTACCAAGTGATATAATCCCTAGCAATGTCCTACTGTTGGTATCCATGTAGCACAA